AGCTACTATGGCCTGACTGTCTGGTTTCCTGACATGATCCGCCATCTCCAAGCAGTGGACTATGCAGCCCGCACCAAAGTGTTCCCAGGGGAGCGTGTAGAGCATGTGACTTTCAACTTCACCCTGGAGAATCAGATCCACCGAGGGGGACAGTACTTCAATGACAAGTATGTGGGGACCTTTACACTTCACTCCTCCTGCTCCTTCTACCCTTTGTCTCTTTTGTGAGTCTGGGAGTTCGGAGACAAGGTATTTGGGGGGCAAAGACCTGTGGGTTTGTTTGTTTGTAGACTAGAAAAAGAGTTTATCAGGGTACACTGCCATAGACAACAGAGGGCCACACAGACGAGAGGTGCCTGTGTGAGCCAAAGACCTGTGGTTCTCCTCAATGCTGCCGCTTCCTATAACTGCACTGAAGGAGTGGGTCCTGGCGGAGAGAATGGGAATCTTTCATCATCTTGGCCTTACAGGTTCATTGGGCTGCGTCTGAAGTCAGTGTCCTTTGAGGATTCCCTATTTGAGGAGTGTTATTTTGAGGATGTCACGTCCAGCAACACTTTTTTCCGCAACTGCACATTCATCAACACCGTGTTCTATAACACTGGTAAGGTGGGGCGGCCAGTGGCTGTCTGACTGAAGGGCTGGGTGGACCCTGAAGAGGCGGGGAGGGCACCTTCCTCATTCCCTAGCTCAGGGTCTGCAAGCTGAGCTCTCCGGAGCCTTGAAGGCTGGTACAGGGGCCTGTGAACTACCACCAATAATTTGAAAAATCTAATGGAAATTGAAAACTTTTCTGTAATAGTTAAAATATCTGACAAAAACATGAAGTTTCTTTGCCTTTGGTTAGAATTGAAACAACTCAGTGTAGTGATGTTAATGCACCTTTGAAGAGGGCAAAAATCATTCAAAACAGGGTCCTTGGGAGAAAGAAAAATAATAAAAAGGTCACTTGGTAGAGGAAAGGTTGGGGGTCATGGCCTTAATCCATTTCTTTAACAGTGATCCTCAAACTGCATACGCATGAAATGCTGGTTTTGGAAACCAGACTGAGGTTTCCCACCACTAAATGGGGGTCTGGGTGAGCTTTCCCATCTTGCAGGAAAAAATAATGATGGGACTTTTAATGATTTTTAATATTTTGCTCAGTATTTTTTCCTAAACTTATGGCACCGCTACTGCTTTCAGTCAGCTCAAGCAGGCAAAAAGTATGAACGGGAAAGAAGCAGGCACTACTAATGAGAAAACTTGGAAACAGCCAGTCACCCTGTTTCATTCTGTAGATTATGGTCACTTTGTGCCACAGAGTCCAGTTCCCATAGTGATATGTCGGATGCTTGGCAGTGAGCGCCCTGAATGATCCTGAGTGACCTCCCTGCCAAACCCCACAAAGGCAGAGCCCTGAGCACAGGCCGCAGCTCCTCCCTCTCACACCGGCCGTGACTGTCTGCCTGTCTCGGCCCTCGCCCCCAGACCTGTTTGAGTACAAGTTCGTGAACAGCCGTCTGGTGAACAGCACATTCCTGCACAACAAGGAGGGCTGCCCCCTAGACGTGACAGGGACGGGCGAAGGCGCCTACATGGTGTATTTCGTCAGCTTCCTGGGGACGCTGGCTGTGCTTCCTGGGAACATTGTGTCTGCTCTGCTCATGGACAAGATCGGCAGGCTCCGAATGCTCGGTGAGGGGACAGGCTGGGTGGTGGTGCGTCAGGACTGATGAGGGGTTTGGCGAAGGGGAAGGCTGTCAATGGGCTTCTCACCTTAGTCTGTGGAAGAGCTTAGCCAGAGAAGGTTCTATCTCTTCTGCTTGGGGGTGGCTGCAGGATGGCGAGGGGTCTGGCAGGGAAGCTCCCCTGGGGGTAGGAGGTATGCGGAGTAGCAAGTGCAGGGCACAGGCTTTGAGGTGATGGATTTTGAATCTCAGCTCCACTGCCTACCTTGGGCAAATTACTTTCCCTCTGTGAGCCCAACTGTCTCACCTGCAGCATGGGGGTGATGACAGTAACTGCCTCATGAAGCTACATATTAGATCAGTGCATGTAAAGCATCGAGTTGCTTGGCCCATAGCTGGCACTGAAGAAATGGCTGGCACGGGTATTATTAACAAAAGGACAATTATGAGGGAGGCTGGGGTACCTTGGCAAGAGGAGAGTCTCATCTCAACGCTGGCTGACAGGGCAGGGTGGGCTGCGGACGGTTTCCCCCGTGGCCAGGCTCATGCTGCCTTCTCCTTCCCCGGCTCTAGCTGGCTCCAGCGTCATGTCCTGTGTCTCCTGCTTCTTCCTGTCCTTTGGGAACAGCGAGTCAGCCATGATCGCTTTGCTCTGCCTTTTTGGGGGGGTCAGCATTGCATCCTGGAACTCGCTGGACGTGCTGACTGTTGAACTCTACCCCTCGGACAAGAGGTAGCTGGAGTGTGGTGGCGGCAGGGTAGCAGGGTTCGGGCCCAGAGGGCAGGGCAGAAGTAGGGTGAGGAAGGGGGCTGACTGGGAAAGGCATCTTCAGGGGTAAAAGGGTACACATTCCCCTTTAGTTTCTCCTCTAAAAACTGGTAGCTTTTGTATTCACTCCTTGAAGTCTTAACTATTAACCTAGTTTTTTGGTGTCCTTTCCCCTTGCCTCCCAATTTATCCTTATTTCCTGATGTGCATCCATCACCTCTCATCTCTCCATCCTTCCTCTCCCTCTTGGACACTGCCTGCCATCTTTCCTTCACTTTCCCACCTACCTGCCCTTCCCCCACCAACCCTCCCACTGCTCTTCCATCGTCTCCCTTCTGGGCCGGCCCGTCCCTGCTGCGTGCTGCGCTGGGGGACTCCTGAGCAGGACCACAGCCTTCGGCTTCCTGAATGCCCTGTGTAAGCTGGCAGCTGTGCTGGGGATCAGCATCTTCACATCCTTTGTGGGAATCACCAAGGCTGCCCCCATCCTCTTTGCCTCAGCTGCCCTTGCCCTTGGTAGTTCTCTGGCCCTGAAGCTGCCTGAGACCCGGGGGCAGGTGCTGCAGTGAGGGAGCTTCTGGGGCTTTGGGGGTGGCAGGCACACTGTGAGACCAACAACTCCTTCTTTCCCCTCCCTGCCCTGCCATCATGGCTCCCAGAGCCCTCTTTTCCCACTCGCCCGTGTTTGGTGTCTTAGCTGTGTGTGTGTGTGTGTGTGTGTGTGTGAGAGAGAGAGCGAGAGAGAGCGCGCACATGTGTGTGACCCCATGGGCAGGGACTACAGGGAAGGCGCCTCCATCCCAGTGTTGGGATGCAGATCTACTCCTCACCTCCTACCACCCTCGACTTTGCACAAGAGAAGGCTCGGCCCCACCCTTCTCCCCCAGTGTTAGTGAGAGGCCCCTGCGCTTCCTGGCTCCTGGGGCTATAGATCAGGCTTCCTGCCTTCCCCTCATCCCCTCTGCCTGGGCCCTAGCGAAACCACAGGCATATGACCATGGGGGGGCTGGGGCTTTGTGTAGACCATGGACCAAAAGAACTTCTTAGAGTCAGAGGGGCCTCTGGTGTCCCCTCACAGCTGCTGGATGCTGGGGGAGCAGCAGTAAATCTCAGCGCCCTGGCCTCTGCTTCCTCAGTTTGGGCTCCAAGTAAGAAGCCTGAATTTTATGAAATTAGCTTTCTGATTCTTATTTATTTATATATTAGGTTCTGAGGCAGCTCAGCAGGACTGTGTTTGTGTGAACATGAACATGTGGGTACACTTTTGTATGCATGTGTATGTGCCGTGGGCCGGGGGTGTGACTATACTGTCCTGAAATACAAGCCAAGGATAATTTCAGTGGACCCACACACAGCCCTGCTTCCCACAGTATCTCCTCTCATCTTGTTTCTGGGCCGGGCCTGGGAGGGAGGAGCCCTAGGCCAGGCTGGGATAAGTGTCCCACAGTGTAGGGAAATCTGAGGGCACCTGACAAGGTCACCTCCTCCCCTCCTCTCAGGAAGCACAGGCCTCCTCTGGAGTGAGAGGCTTGACCCACTACAGCACAGACAGGAACAGCACAGCAGCCCTCCCACCCCCACCCCCGTCCCCTCACAGGCAGGGTAGCAGGGGAGGGAAAGAAACTAGGCATATGGTCAAACCAGCAGATCAAAAAGCACAAGGGGCAGGGCCAGGAACCAGGGGCCTTCCCAGCAACCCCTCTAAAGTGGGAAGAGGTTAGGCAGTAAGCCAGGGGCCCCTAATGCAGGGACCAGAAGCCTCAGCTTCCCCATCTCACCCTCTTCACAGGATAGCCCCTGTAGGTAAAGCTGCTCCTGCCCTACCCCACTCCGTGTGGCTGCTTTCTTTGGTGCCCCCTTTCCCCCCACTGTAGCTGTGATGTGTTGTAGTTTTTAGCTGTTTGTAAATGTTAAAAAAAAAATTAAAAGGAAAAAAGTGAAAACAACAAAAAAAGAAAATCCAAATTCACCCTCCTCATGCTGCGTCTGGCGGTGCCCCCTCCCTGTGGTCACTCCCATTTTGTAACACTGAACCAGGTGGTGACTGTTTAACTCTGGTGTCTGTGCTCAAAGGACTGCTTTCCCCTCCAGTGCCCAGTGTACGAGTGTGTGCCCTTTCCTCACCCTTCACTTGCTAGACGTAGCCCTCTTCCCTGCACCCCCCTGGAGGGACCCATCCATCTCCCTTACTCTCCTGGGGAACCCTAAACCCAACTATGTTGATGTGAAAAATGAAATGAAAATATTGATGAAAAATAAAAAGGAAACAAATCCTTAAAACCCAAAATGGCTATATCTGCTTCTTTGCCTCCACCTATATCCAACTCTGACCTGCCTCCTAAGAGGGTCCTGGGAGGCCAGAAAAACATGATTTCCTGTCAGTCTCTCTCTCCTGACCTTTCCACTTTTACAGGTGGAGTGTCCCCTCCGTCTCCCAGATTTGAAAACTTGGGATAATGTCCTATAACTCAACAGCAAAAAAACGAATAACCTGATTAAAAAATGGGCTAAGGACTTGGATAGACATTTTTCCAAAGAAGACATACAACAGCCAATAGGTAAATATGAAAAAATGCTCTATGTCACTGATCATCAGGGAGGTGCAAGTCAAAACCACAATGAGATACTACCTCACACTTGTCAGGATAGCGATTATCAAAAAAAAGTGTTGGCAAAATGTGGAGAAACTGGAACCCTTGCACATTGTTGATGGGACGGCAGAATGGTACAGCCACCCTGGAAAAGAATATGGAGGTTCCTCAGAAATTAAAAGTAGGAGTACCATATGATTCAGCAATCTCACTTCTGGGTATTTATCCGCAAGAATTAAAATCAAGATCTTGGAGAGGCATTAGCATGTTCATTGTAGCATTATTCACAATAGCTAAGATGTAGAAACAACCTAACTGTCCACGGGTGGAAGAATGGATAAAGAACAGATAGTTTATACATACAATGGAGTATCTGCCAGCCTTAAAAAAGAAGGAAATTCTGCAATATGTGACAACATGTATAAATCATGAGGCCATTACACTAAGTGAAATAAGTCACAGAAAGACAGATATTGGATGATTCTATTTATATTAATTATTTAAAATAGTCAAATTCATAGACTCAGACTAGAATGTTGGTTGCCAAGGGCTTGGGGGAGAAGCAGCTACCAATCAACAGGCATAAGATTTCAGTGACGCAAGATAAATAAGCTCTAGAGACCTGCTGTACAACACTGTGCTTACAGTCAGTGATAATATATTGTGCACTTAAACATTTGAGAAGGTAGATCTCATATTTAGAGTTTTTGCTGCAATATTACAAAATAATTTTTTAAAAATCTAAAATCTCCAAAAATGGAAACCAACAACTTGGAGTATTATTTCTTAAGAACAGAATTAATTTTCCTCCAAACCCTCTTGTGTCTTTTAAAAAAACAGATTCCAGATTCCATTCTCAACTTGTGGAGATGAATCCTTTTTTTCAGAAGAGAGGTGACCTAGACTGTACATATTAAACAAGTTCCCTTGGGAACTCTTATTTGTGAGGAAATCTGAAAACCACTGCCGAGAGGTTACCATTGCTCCCCTCTCTCTGGGTCACTACTGTTTGAATCAAGCCCTTTTCTGACTTTTTAAGTGGGAGCTCTCAAATCAACTCCTTCCTCTCCATTTCCACAGCTGACCTCTTGGTCAGGGTTCCACCTTCACCACTGGTTGATCTCTGTGCCTCCAATCTCCTACATCACTGTCAGATCAATCTATCCCAAAATGTTCTTTGAAATGCCTTTCCTCAAAACTCTTCGGTGACTCCCTGCTGCCCAACCAAATGCAGTCTATACTCTTTAGCAAGAAATGGTCGACACGCGTTAATCAAGCTTTTTCTTTACAAAGTTCCATCTCTACGTTGAGATCATTGCAAAGTTGCTTATTTAGATATCACTTGAGTTCCCCTCAGAAATAAGACGTTTGGAAGGCTCAAAGGAAAAAGTGCTATATAAAGTTTTCTCCATCTTCTATATTCATCTCCTAGGTTATCATCTTTTTGTTACTGTAGTGATTTTTTTAAAAAGATTTTTCTCACGAACAAACGCAAATCCTTTTGGAAATGGGCATGTTGTTAGAAAGCCAAACACTCCCAAGTCTGAAGTTCAAATGTGTCTGTAACTGCTGTCTTGTACAATAACTCGCTGCCTGTCCAGCTTCTGTGCCTATGCTTGGGCTCTTTCCTCTGCCTGCAACACCTTTCCTCTCCTTTTTGATTGAATAAAGCCCTTCCTGACTGCCCTACACTTCAAGTATCTTTTTTCTCCCAAGAACATCTGTAGCACTGATTCAACAGGCCACTAATGACACAGCAATTCAACTCATATGACAATTTCTCTTTTAGTGTACAGGATTATCTGCGACTCATAAGGTCTAGTGGTTCTTTAGTCACAATGTAATTCGAAATAACTGCGTACTTTTCCCTGAATAGTCCATGGCAAGAACAGGAGTGACTCTACTCTTTCCCTGGGTTAGCTATGAGGTGAAATGAGTTGCTGTCTGCAGAGTATGTGTATATGCCGGTTGAACGGGTCCCAGGGTCCTCATCCCTTACAAATACCAGACTGTACAGAAGGAAAGAAGGCCCCAGTAGTTTATTCTCACCCAACCCATTTGGATCCTGGTTCTCCCTCTCTCTCAGGATTCAAGGAGTTCCTCGAGTTTTCTTGCTCCCGCCCAGGCAGGGGGGGCTCGTGTCCAGTTGAGGGTTCTCCCTCCACTGGGCAGGGGTCCGCGCTTGTATGGCCAGCGCGTGGACTGGCCCAGCCAGCTCTTCCGACAGCGCCGCGTGGACCAGCCGATGCCTTTGGAGGGGACTCAGTCCCTCAAAGCGCGAGCTCACCACTGCCACGCGGAAATGGGTCTCACTGCCTGGTGGGACCGCGTGGCCGCCGCTCTCGTTACGCAGCTCCAGCACCTCGGGGTTCAAGGCCTGCTCCAACTTCGCGCGAATGGCGGCCTCGACGGGACCGACGGCCCCCGATCCCGCGCTGCTCCGGGACAGACAGACGCGGCCGGCCATGGAGAAGAAGCGTCCGACCAGCTGCCCACTCAGCATCGGCTACCACAGGGAGAAGGACGGGAACAGTGAGGGACAGGGCCTCGCACTACGTGAGAGACCAGTCTCCCAGCTACCCCAGCCCCCGCGGCGAACGTCCACACTCGGCTCCTGCTGGGACCCGCCTCAACGCGAGAGACGCAAGGCACCGCCCCTTCCCTCCGTGTGACGTACGGGAATCTAGCCTCCGCGGGCGGCGGAGCGGCGACGGGGTTTGAGACAGGGCCCGTGCGCGAGGCACGTTCGTTACCACGGGGATTCGTAAGGAATAGGCTGGAGGCTGCAAAAGTAGAGTATGTGAAGCTTCGGGCTTTTAGTTGAGCCAGTGTCCACACGTCCCCTCTGAACCCCAGACTGGGCCCTCACTACCTTGCACTCAGTCTTGGCTGCAGCAGTTACCCCTCAGGGCCAGAACTCCCGACGTTCTGAGCGGAATGCAGACCTCGCGTCCGGAGGCACGCTGGGAAGTGGAGTCCTCGCAACTCGATTAGAACCGGCAGCGGTCACGTGGTACCCCGAGGGCTCACGGGAACTGTAGTCTCCACTTAGCCCGACTCGGGACGTCGATGGAGGTGCCGAATTGGAAGAATTGCGAAGAAAATGGGAGTTCGGCGCAGTTGGATTTAGGATTATTCTACCCATTTTATTCCCAATATAGATCTTATAGGTCATGTAGCCCAACTCCTTTATTTTACATAAGAGAAAATACAGTCTATTTCATTTATTGAATACATAATTATTGCGCACCAGACCAGTTCTGGAGGCTAGGGAGGGAAGACAGGCCCTGTCCTCAGGCAGGTTACAGAACGCCGGAGAGGATGGTTAAATGAGGGGACAGGTGCAATACTATGTGCCGAGTGCTGTGATGGGACTAAGAACAGGATGCTAAGGAGGCACGCCATCCAGACTTTGGGGAGAAGAGAAAGTTTAGGGGAACAGTTTAGAAGAGACAAAAATCCTTTCTCAGTGCTTATAGTGTGGTAGCTTTCGTACAAAGGCCAGGAGGAGAGTACTTTCCTCCTGGTGGTTCCTTTGGGTGTAGTTAGGCATGGTTGGAACCGACAGGGCAGAGATGATGGTGTTGGGAGCTGGGGTGAGTGCATAGGCCTGTGGCGAGAAGAGGAAGGGGCCAAACCAGGCTGGGCCCTGTAGGTCTTGTTAGGCAGTTTTGTCTTTATCCTAGGAGCAGTAGGAAGGAAGGGAAAGTTTTAAGCAGGGATGAGATTTTTCCAAGATGATAGATAACTTGTCAATTCAATCTATATTTTATCTTGTATCCTTCATATTTTATAGATTTCTCCATATATGTATTTCCCCCAACTTCTAATTCTGAAAAATTTCAAACCTGCAGAAAAGTTGGAAAGTACAAAGCAATATCCTCTACTTTCACTATTTTTTACATATTATATATTAAATACTTATATACTTTTATATTTAAGTCCTTTATGTATCCTATATGCTTTAGAAATATATTTATATACTTTTTTGAAAGGAAGTTGCAGATAGCATGACATTTCATCCCTAGGTACTCCAATAAGTATCTCCTAAGAACAAGGATATTCTCCTAAATAACCACGATATCCTTATCACATTCAAGAAGCTTAATGTCAGTTGCAAGGTTAGTAGTGAGCACCCCATTTATTCTCTACTGACATTTTGTGAGATTTGCTTTTTAATCTTTGAATATGTGTGTGTATAATAAAAATAAAATGTACCACTTCTGCTGAATCATTTGAGAGTTAGCTGTAAAAAAAGTTTTGCATTTCACTGCTGTATGCTTCAGCATGTGCCTCCTAAGACAAGGACATTTTTCTGCATAACCACAATGCCACTACCACACCTAAGACATTTAATATTCATACCAGTACCTAATATACAGTTGATATTCAGATTTCCCCAGTTGTCTCATTAGTGTCCTTTATAACTTTTTATTTTTAGAAAGCTAGTGGAGGATCATGTATTGCATTTAGCCCTCTTTCAATGTGTATTTTGCAAAGATCACTAGCTGCAGTGTGGAAAACTGTAGAGGAGGTAGGAGTGCAAGAAGGGAGACCAGCTGGGAGGTTATTGTAGTAGTCTAGATGAAAGATGATGATGACTTGGACCAAGGTTGTGGTGGTGGAGGTGGAGAATGAGATGGGAAGAAATTGTGGCTACAAGATAATATATTAGTAGGGTAAAATTCATGGATGTGGTAATGAGCCAGTTATGGGAGGGAAAGTGTGAAGGATAACTATCAGGTTTCTGCATCTCGATGGATTGCATTTATTCCCTAAGATGAATACTGGAAGAGGACCAGGTTTGGAAGAGTGGGGAAGGGGACGATTATGTGTCCGGTACTGTTTTGGACTTAAATCTGAAGTGTCTTTATGATATTCAAGAAGAGATGTCAAGTTGGATATATGGCTCTGTGTATGTGTGAATTGTATTTTTAACTTTTTCTTAAGTGTTTTCAGAGTTACAGAAATTGCAAAAATAGTACAAATAATTCTTGTCTATCCCTCACCCTGATACCCAGATTATCCATATATTAACATTTTATTGTACTTGCTTTATTTCTATGTATCTATCTTCACATATATAATTTTTTTTCCTAAACTGTTTCAGAGTAAGTTTCAGAGATAAAGTCCATTTACCTCTAACTATCTGTGATGGTTATTTTATGTGTCAACTTGACTAGGCCACGGGATGCTCAGATATTTGGTCAAACATTATCCTGGGGTTTCTGTGAGTGTGTTTTGGATAAGATTAACATTTACTTTGGTAGACTGAGAAAAGCTGGTTGCCCTCCCTGTTGTGGCCCATCTCATCCAATTAGTTGAAGGCCTGAAGAGAATAAAAAGGTTAACCCTCCCTGAGAGAGAGAGAAAGTTCTTTCCTGTCTGATTGCCTTTGAACTGAGACATTGGCTTTTTTACTGCCTTCAAACTCAACTGAAACACTGGCTCTTCCTGGGTCTCCAGCCTGCTAGCCTTTGGCTGGGACTACAGCATTGGTTCTGTTGGTTGTTAGGCCTTCAGGCTTGGACTGGAACTACACCATCAGCTCTCCTAGGTTTCCAGCTTGCTGACTCACCCTGCAGATCTCGGGATTTGTCAGCTTCCATTATCATGTGAGTCAATTCCTTATAATAAATCTCTCTCTCTCTCTCTCTCTCTCTTGCTCTGTCTCATTTTCTCTCTCTTACTTGCTCTTTCTCTCTCCATATATATCCTATTGTTCTGTTTCTTTGAAGAACTCTGACTAATATATATTTACTAATGTATATTTACTAAAAAAAAAGACATTTTCTCACATAACCAACAGTATAATTGTCAAACTCTGAAAATGAACATTGATACAGTATTATAATCTACAGATCTCACTCAAAATTTGCCCACTGTCCCACTCATGTCCTCTATAAACAATGAAAAAAAATTCTGGGCCAGGAGCCAATCTAGGGTCACATGCTGTATTCAGTTGTTATGTCTCTGTAGTCTCCATTAGTCTGGAATAGTTCCTTAGTCTTTGTCTTTCATGACTTTGACATTTTTGAGGAGTACAGACTGTGTATTTTGTTGAATATCCCTCAATTTGGGTTTGTCTAATGTTTCCCTCTGATTCAGATTTAGGATATGCATTTTTGGCAGGAATACTGCAGAAGTGATATTGAGTCCTCACTGAACCATATGGGGGCATATAATTTGTTTTGTCCTTTTACTAGTGATAATTCTGATCAGTTGATTCAGGTGGTATCTCTCAGGTTTCTCCACTGTAAAATTATTCTTTTTCCGTTTGTAGTTGTAGGAGATACTTTGAGTCTTCTTAATATTCTATTTCTCATTGAGCTTTTGTCTACTAATTTTTGCATTTGAGAAGTGTATCTGAAGAGTTATTGAAGGTGAAATGAAGTCATGGGTGGGGGTTTAGGTGGGGAAGTGGGTGAGGGGAATGAAATTACCATGGGGAAGATACATGGTAAGAAAAGAATCGGATTTTCTATTAGAAGAGCACTCTGGCTAGTGTGTGAAGAATCTGTTAGTGGAATGGGAAGAGTGGAAGCAGAGACAAGAGTAGAAAAGGCTTTGGCAATAGTCTGGTGAAAGATAATCTGAGTGGAGGCAGGAGATGTGCTGGAGAGAAGCCAATTGACCAGAAAGCTATTAAAGAGATGGCATCTACAGGATCTGTAATTTGCTAATCCAGTAACTGGGGTAGGGGTGGGGACTGGTGGGAGGCTGTGGTCAGAGAAGGCCTTGCTGTGGAGGGGACATATAAACAGAGATGTGAATGACTAGTGGGAACTAATCATGTGAAAAGAGAGATCTGGCCGGAGGGAATGTATTCACTACATTCTAGATGTGTTATGTCAAGCTCATTGTTGGCATACTTGTGGGTGTTCAATACAATGTGTTGGATGGATAAGTGAACTCATACATGTATAGGAAGGGCTGACATCATTATTATTCCCGTTGCAAAAACAAATGAAAGCTTTGTAAGTTTCAGGCTCCATAGGGCAAGTTTAGTGTCTTTGTTTCTGATAAAAACATAATCATAATATCTGCTATTTAGTGAAGGTGTGTCATGGACAGATTAAGACTTTTAGAGGTTTTAAGCACTGAGAGATTATGGTGGTGGCTGCCTCATGTGTAATTAAACAAAACAAAAAAGCAGTAAACACTAATCTGTAACATGACGATTAAGATGCCCAGCAAAGTATTCATTCTTTTCCCCATAATGATTAATTACTTCAGTATTTGTTCATTAAAAAAATTAATTTGTGCTTATTGACATATAATTTCCACATAAGAAATGTACAAATCTTAAGTATACAGCTTAATTTTACATACAAATACACCCATATCAAGATACAGAAATTTCTAGCACCTTGGAAGGCTCCCAGGGAAGTCAGTACTACCCTGACACTGGTAATCATTATTCTACCCTGGAGCACCATAGATTAGTTTTGCCTGATTTTGAACTTCTTATAAATAGAACACATGAATTCATTTGTGTTTGTCTCTTCCTCAGCATTGTGAGATTTATCCATGTGTGTGGCAGTAATTTGTGCATTTTCCTTGTTGTGTAGTATTATAGTATATGAATATACTACATTCTTGTACATGCGTTTTGTTGGATGTAAACACTTATTTCTGTTTGGTGTATACCCAGGAGCGGAATTGCTAGGTCATAGGATAAACACAATGTTTATTTCTGAAATGACAAACTCATTCAAAGAATTTTTGTGATGACACAGCTTTGTTGGTGCCAAGTCTATTGTAAATGTTTGAGATTTATGAACTCTCAATTCAATGTGACAAGTCCATGAAGTAGCTACTGTTATTACTCTTGCTTTACGATGAGGAAGTAGAGACCCTAAGAGGTTAGGTAAGTTGCCCATGGTCACAGATGGTAAACAAACCCAGAGAATTTGGGCTCTTAACCACTGTTAAGCTGTTCTGCTTCCTAATCCAGCATTGGGGCATCTCAGGTTCCAGGTTCCATACTAGGTTCTTTACATTTACTCTCATGACTCTATTATAGTAGGGTATATTATTTTTATTTAATTAATGAGCTTCTATCATATCTTCCATCACTCTGGTTACTACAGTCTACTGTTTATAGTTGGCATTTGGTGAGTGGTTTGTTGACTAAAGAGAAACATTTTGGAAAAGAAGACACTAATTCTCTAAGAGTATAGTTTCACCTTCTCATGCCAGAACATGTCATTACCCTATTAAGAGAAAGGTAGAAGAAATCAAGGACTCCTGATTCAAAGGTGAAGAAGATATGGTCTCTCCCTTGAGGTGGTCACAGAAATGAAGTGAGACCAAGGTCAAAACACAGGACAGATGGGTTAACTTCTGACACCAGGATGTGAACAAAGAGATGTGGTGCATTGAGGCTATGTGTGTGTGGGAGTAGGGAGGGCCTCATGAAAGAGGAGGTGATATCTGGGTGGAAACTGGAAGGATGAGGATTTTGCAGGTCAAGAGGAGGCTGAAGCATCCTAGCCAGAGGCAACTGTATGTGCAATGGCAGGGAGCTATAGAAGGGCCTTGCTCATCTCATGAATGGTGTGCAGCTCAGTACGGAGAGGACTGGGGATGGAGTTGGGGAGAGGCAGAAGAAAAAGGGAAGGGGGAAGAGTATGGCTGGAACAGTAGAATGGAGATAGAATGCAAACTAAATGTTTGCTTCACTAGATTGCCTGGAAAGGAACTCAGTTACCGTTGGTTAAAAATCCCAGAGGTGTTAAGGGAGAAAAGCTGCAGCCCGTTTGTCCGTGATGGTGTACTACTTTTCCAAATGGCCTGCTCTCTTTTATTTTTTAATAGCTCTGGTAGGAATGCTGGAAAAGGAGCTCTGGGGAGCAATAGATAGTAATTGAGCCTGTAATTTGTAGGATATTGGCCTATCTGGACTTATCTAATAAGGTTTTACAGCTGGATAGACTCTTAAGTATTAAGTCAGATTTTGTCTCCTACTCTCTCCTTCTCTGTAACAGAGGGAGAAAGCAAGACTCGGCAAGTTAAGTGACATCATGAAGCCCATAATGTAGTTAGTGTGACAGTGTGCACAAAGTGATCATGAACAGTCTTTGAGGTAGGCAGCCCTTGGTTCTAATCCTGTCTTTGTAAGTAGTGGTGTGACCTTCAGCAAGTGCTTTAACTCCAAAACCTCAGTTTCCTTATCTGTGAAACAATTACAGATGGCCTTCTGTATCCATGGGTTTCACATCCGAGGATTCAACCAACCGTGGATAGAAACTATTAAGAAAAATGATTCCAGAAAGTTCCAAAAAGCAAAACTTGAATTTGCCCTGCACTGGCAACTATTTATGTAGTATTTACATTATATTTAGAACTATTTATATTGTATTAGGTATTGTAAGTTATCTAGAGATGATTTAAAGTATCTGAGAGGATGTGGGTAGGTTATATGCAAATACTACACCATTTTCTATAAGGGACTTGAACATCTTCAGATTATGATATCCACTGTGGGTCCTGGAACCAGTCTCTGTTGGTACTGAGGGACAACTATGTGTCTTCTTCATCGATAGCCCCTAGCATAGGGCTTACCACATAACAAGGGTTCAGTATAATCTCTTTTCCCTTCACCCTTCCTAACAGCATAGGGTCACTGTTATAGACGTAAAAAAAGACATCAGAGGTCAAAGAGTGGGAGGTCAGCTGGCCCTTCAAGCAGGCCCTCGAAGAGTACTAGGGTTGTCACAGGTTCCCCACAATCTGTATTTTGTTCTATGCCCATTAGGACTGAAAGGTTGACACTATTAGAACTTCCAGAGTCGACTGGGAAGAGACAGTAACAAAATACACAAGAAATTTATGAATAGCTCAGAATGCAAATTGACTTAACTTTTAGTGATAGATATACCTTCCCAAACTAGTTCTCCCGTCTCATACTTTTTAATCTTGAAATAGAAATGGAAAGTTAATTGAGCACAGAACCTGAGGTAGAGTTGGATAATCTTAAAATATTTCACCCAGGCTATGAGAACAATCTGACCCTTTCACAACCAAGGGAACTTCTTTAACAGTCCAAACCTTTGTGTGTAGCACATACTCTTAGCGATAGAGAAACAGCACAGTCTCTAATTGCCCCACTTAGACACTACATAGACTATGCCTATTAACATGTGCATCTTCTGAAATGCTAGTCAGTTGGGTTAGAATCTTCAGTTACATCCTATTATTGAGGAAACACTTCACTAGCCTTGATTAACTCCGTACTTCACAAATCAATTCCTGCACTCTCATCAGGGGTAACTTCTAGAAATAGCTGATACTGCTTCAACTTCCAGGCATTTAAGTACATTCAGTACAGGCCCCTCTGCATTAGTCTTTGTTAATAACCAGAAAGAAAGCATCAGGCACTACGCAACATCACAATCTACCTTACCACAAAGCACCCACAAAGAAATATCCCCAAACCGCAACAGAATTCTCCCTGCACAGGCTTGGGTATTTATACCCAGGGGTAGGAACTGATTGGTGGGTTCGTATGCAAATAAGGGATACTGAAAGTGACAAATGAGGGATGCTGAAAGTGAGAGGGGCGTGTCCAAAAGAGAGGGGCATGTAGGATGAACACTCCCGCCAGTAGTTCTCACTCAGGTCCGGGGAGGGTTTTACCGAGGCAGAAGGTAGATGTTGTGGCTTGTCAGCTCAGGCTTGTCCCGAAATGGCGCCGGATCGCCAAAATGAAGTTGGTCGTGTCTATCGGTGTCAATCATACGTATATCCACTGCCTGACGGGTAGCACGTACTCAATAAACGTCCGTTTAACAAAGGTGAGGATAAAAGAGAAACACCAGAAAAGTACTCAAGGAATAGAACTTAAGTCTATTCTTTTCTCTGTACTCAGGAAAGGGTGAAAATGGTGTGGGGATGTACAACTCTCAGAGATGGGAAGCTGAGGAGGGTTTACTTTCAGGAAAGATCTATGGAAGGTAGGCGGAGGATTATTACTCACAGGGGTCTGCAGGGGCTGCTGAAGTCAGAGCGAGCGATGATTGCAGACAAGAGGATCGTGGAGGAAGCGTGAAGATATGTTAAGAAAGTAATATTGGATATGCTGTTGAGACGTAGGGAAAAGCAGATTTCTGGCTTAGGTATCTGGAAGATTGTTGGTGCAATTCAGGGTAAGAGAGTAAAGAAAGGGTAGGGGTTGTTTGGATGAGTTCGCGGTTGGTTTGGTCGAGTTGTTGGGACAAGCAGGTTGAAGTATCCAGTAAGTAGCTGGGTATAAGGGTCTGAGCTGGAATGAATCTGGATGTTAGTTGAAAACATGGATGTGGGTAAGGCTTCCGGAAAAGTGAAGAATGGAGGAATGTGGGGGAGGGGCCAGTAGGGAGGCACAGCCCAGGTGGACACGCGGATTTAGGGACAGGCAGAGGAATAGGAGAATGAGGAAAGACGGAGGGCGACATTTTGAAAGCCAAGTTTCAAGGCAGTATCGGACGCCTCCTGGAGGTCAAAAGGAGAATGACAAGTCTAATCTAGCCCTGGGTCCAACTAGACCCCGAAGAGCGGAGGCGGGTGGGGATGGGGCAAAGCCACACCGCGGGCAACAACTACGTTGAAAGCCGATGGCCTTAGTAGTACTGTACTCTTTAATGGAGTTTGGCTTTGAGGAAGACAGAAAGGGAAAGGTTTGGAGGATAATTTATGGCTCAAGGGGATAATCAGCTTCAGAATCCGGTACCCTTGACTGGTAGTTAACTCGTCTGCTGGAGGCTCTCTGCAGTCCTTTTGGGCCCTTGGGATTTCCCTCGCTGTAAGCTGGGGGGGGGGGACCTACCATCCTAAACTGGAAGAAAAAATTACCAATTAAAAAAAAAAAACAGAACAGCGTTTCGTTTGAAAACCTCTTTAAAAATCCTGCCATGCAAATAAGGGGCTTTAATGTGGCTCCCAGCGATTGGTAGGCACTTAAAACAATCCGTCATTTCCTCGTAGTGTAAGATGCAAACGAAGAGTCTGCTTTCAGCTTCCCTATTGGCTGTTTGATCGGGCTCCGCTTTTAGCCAATCAAACGACTTTCCTTCACCCCTCCCGGTAGCTCTTATAAATCACATCAAACTCGTTATCCTTTTCATATCCTTCTCCTTGAAAAACCAGCCGTAACTGCATATTTACCCGTAATGTCAGGACGCGGAAAGCAGGGGGGCAAAGCTCGCGCTAAGGCCAAGTCGCGCTCATCTCGCGCTGGCCTTCAGTTCCCGGTGGGGAGAGTGCACCGCCTGCTGCGCAAAGGCAACTATGCCGAGCGGGTGGGGGCCGGCGCGCCGGTGTACCTGGCGGCCGTGCTCGAGTACCTGACCGCAGAAATTCTGGAGCTGGCGGGGAACGCAGCTCGAGACAACAAGAAGACGCGCATCATCCCTCGCCATTTGCAGCTAGCCGTAAGAAATGACGAAGAGCTCAACAAGTTACTTGGAGGTGTCACTATTGCCCAGGGCGGCGTCCTGCCCAATATCCAGGCAGTCTTGTTGCCCAAGAAAACGGAGAGTCACAAACCTGGCAAGAATAAGTAACTAGGGAGGTTGACACCACCCCTACTCACCCCAAAGGCTCTTTTAAGAGCCACTAAAGTATCAAGTAAAGGGCTGATCACGAAACAGCGCATTAGCTCTTTTTTTGAGAACTTGGGTGGCTCTAAAAAGAGCCTTTGGTCTTTGGTCTACTTTGTTAGGGTTTATTTGCTTTTGGCTTTGTGGCTTTCGGTTTTCTTTGGTAACAGAACGGCCTGAATGTTGGGCAGAACGCCACCCTGGGCGATGGTGACTTTACCCAACAGCTTGTTTAGCTCCTCGTCATTGCGGATGGCCAGCTGTAGGTGACGAGGGATGATGCGCGTCTTCTTGTTGTCTCGCGCCGCGTTACCCGCCAGTTCCAGGATTTCCGCCGTCAGGTACTCCAGGACTGCAGCCATGTAGACTGGGGCGCCGGCCCCCACCCGCTCCGCATAATTGCCTTTACGCAGCAGGCGGTGCACTCGCCCTACCGGGAACTGCAAGCCTGCACGAGAGGAGCGGGACTTGGCCTTAGCGCGGGCCTTGCCTCCTTGCTTTCCACGACCAGACATAATTTGAAAACAAGGCCAAAAATCCCTAAAGCAGAGACTTTCGCAACAAACAGGATTGAAAGAGCAGCAATTGGAGAGCCTTTATAAGCTTTCCTAGGGGTGGGGTCAGGAACGAGTTTTTCATTGGTCCTAAATTGTCTCCAGAAACAGCCAATAAGATCAGGAGTCGGTGTTGTTACGTAGCTATTACTGATAACGCAAGGTCTCCACAAGGCCCAATGGAAACGAAAGACTTTTGGAGCCTTAATTTGCATACGATGGTTATAAAAGGATCATGCCCGCCCATTCTCACACATCTTTTCTCTGCTAACCCGCTGTGTTTTCTACAATGCCTGAGCCGGCAAAATCCGCCCCCGCGCCCAAGAAGGGCTCGAAGAAAGCTGTCACTAAAGCCCAGAAGAAGGACGGCAAGAAGCGTAAGCGCAGCCGCAAGGAGAGCTACTCCATCTACGTGTACAAGGTGCTGAAGCAGGTGCACCCGGACACCGGCATCTCGTCCAAGGCCATGGGCATCATGAACTCGTTCGTCAACGACATCTTCGAGCGCATCGCGGGCGAAGCGTCCCGCCTGGCGCACTACAACAAGCGCTCGACCATCACGTCCCGGGAGATCCAGACGGCCGTGCGCCTGCTGCTGCCCGGCGAGCTGGCCAAGCACGCCGTGTCCGAGGGCACCAAGGCCGTCACCAAGTACACCAGCTCCAAGTGAGCCCCTGCTAGGACGTGGCGCTCGCATGAGTCGCCGGGCCGCTTGCCTCCAAAGGCTCTTTTCAGAGCCACCCACCTAATCAGAAAAGAGCTTTGTTCACTTGTTTTCCCTTTCAATTCCTTCTCACAAAATAAGTTACTCTAGTTGGCTAAAGGTCACAGAAGATGTATACGTAGCTTTTTAATCCCTTCTGACGAGGTTTCTGGAGCGTGACTGGCTTTGCTTTTTAATCTAGGGCGCGTCTTAACCCCTCACTGTGCTGTTTAGCTTTCCTATGAGTCAGTTCTAAATTAGGATATCGAGACTGCTTGTCCCCACCCTCCGCTCCCAGACTTGTCCTGGTGGCTCTGTTCGGTATGTTTCATCGGCGTTCTAAAACGAAGTGAGTGATTTCGACGAGGAAGGACCCCAAGACACAACTAAGCCCGGGTTCTGCGAACACTGCGTCACTGCCCTGAGGAATTCTCCATAGTTTGACAGCTGCTTGGGTGCCGGATCACCAGTTCTACCCTGCGATGTGGCCTTCTGTGGATACCAGCCGTTCGGAGTACTCCGGGTGGAGCCCGCGCTGCATGGTTTCATCCTTCCCGTGATTGGACGACATGAATATTCAAAATCACGCGCGGCTCCAGTATGGATAGATTGTGGTTTCCGCTGCTCACTTTGGCTCTTTGAAGTCCCTATTATTTCTCGGTTTGTGGATCGTTTTTTGCATTTAATTCTCTTTTCTTGGAACGCTCCGGCCTCGGGTCACTGCAAGGCACTAGTCATTTTAGTCTGGGTTTAAAAATCCTCTGAGACCCTTTCAAGTCATCCACTCAGGAATTTGCGCCTCTCGTTCCTGCCTGTCCTGGCCCCTCACTGTGTTTTGTCTTCCTCCTAGCGGGTGTCAGAAATTGTCTTGTTCTTTTATTTTCTTGTTTATCGTCTTTCTCCTCAAGTCCTTAACAGAAACTGCTGGTCTGGTTTTCCTCTGTATCGTCAGCGCCAACCAGTACTTGGCACACAATGGACACTTGAATTAACTTGTTGAATTTATTTTCCTGTCCCACCCCTTTCTTAATCGCTTCCGTGGATGGATGGGTGAGGTATACTTTAGATGTATGTGAAGACACGATGAAAATGGAAATGTTTTTGGATCTCCTTCCCAAGTCTGTCCGTGGTCACCTCACCTCAGGTCAATAGCTCGGAGGAGGCCTGTTTTTTTTTTTGGTTTGGTTTGGTTTGGTTTGGTTTTTTGCGTCAAAGACGAAGGAGATGGCAAATTGAAGTCCTCCCTTTATGCTTCTCACTTTGGCCTAATCTCTCGGATTTTCATTAAATTCAGAACGTTGGTCACTGGAAAGATCCTTTTCCTTTCTCCTTTTCTGACGCCCTTTCCCCATCCTGATACCTTGTTCCCCCACCTAGATGAGCTTTAATTTACACTCACCATATCTCACTTGCAGGGTGGAGGGTAAACTCAGTGGTAGAGTGCATGCACTAGGTCTTGGGTTCAACCCCTAGTATCCCCATTAAAAAATTAAGCAAATATAAATAACCTAATTACTCCCCTTCACCAACAAAACAAAACAAAACGAAAAAACAACCCTATGTCAGGAGACCATGTGAGGTAAACTAGGTTAGTATCTCTTTAAAAACAAGATTGCAAGAAGTAGTTATTGGTCCACTGGTCATGCAGGTAACATTGTTCACCTTTGTATCCTCAAATGTGAGGACAATTGTATTTTAGTTTTATTTCATGTAATTACAGAATGTTGAATCTTTCTGTCCAAGCCTTGATTTTGCTAATAAAGACACTGACAATCTGATCAGTTACTCAATTCTGCTTTTGGTTAAGAGGTCCTGGAGTTGATTGCAGGGGTTTCATGAATCCAAATGGACTCCAGATATTATCAGAGACTGAATAAATCTATGTTTCCTACGTGTGTGTTTTCAAATGTGTGTAGATGCTATTATTATTAATAAAGTTATCAGTTAATTTAAAAGTTTGGCTGGATTCTTCTGCAATATATTTTCTAAGTTAAATGAATGGATACAACCACTACTGGATCTGTGGAAAAGGTGGATGCCTCTGATTTGGAGGATAAATATTTATAAACCATTGGTGAAATGTACTTCTACCTCAGAGGTGTACTGGGGCTGAAATAGTCTGTTATCGCCACACTGTCAGTGCTTAGAATTGAAAAATACACGACCACCAAAAAACCAAAAAAACCCAAACAAAATGATCTCCAACAAGAAGCATTATAAACAAGTTAGAAGAAATAAAGTCCTTCAGAAAGTTTAGCTAACACTTGCAGAGTACCTAGAACCCGATGAAGTAGTCACAATTTTCTCCCATTTTACAGATGAGGCAACTAAGACACAGAGAGGCTTCTCAGAAACTCTCCAGAGAATAAACTCTAAATTTAGTGCTAAAGGGACTTAAGAAAGTAAGATTCCTCTTCTCTCCCAAAACCTGGGCTTTAGGGGAAAAGACCTATACTTTAAAATTAAAATTAAAATTAAAATTAAAATTAAAATTAAAATAAATACCGCCTGTTTTATTCTCAGGATGCACCCTGGATGTAAGTCTACGGTGGTGGTGGTGGCTGAAAGCCTTGAGGGAGGGATTGGGGGTGCTCTCATTCTCCATCCCAGAGGATGTAGCTCCACTCCGTTTAGTTTGTCCCAGAGTTGTAAGGTTCCCCAGTGGAAATACCTTTACAAACGTGAGAGACATCTGGTTATGGGTTGTGGGCTCCTCCTGGGCATGATGTTTGCTAGGAAGTAAGTTACAGAGTGAGGAAGGAAGAAGTGTTAGAATTTGGTATTTTAACTCTTTCTTTCAAGCCAGGGCTATAATCTTCCACCTCAAAGGATACATCTCAATTAATTTTTCTACCATCCTCACCTCTGCTTAAAAAAAAAAAAAAGCAAAAGAACAAAACTTTACTGAGGTATAATTAGCATACAATAAAATGTACATGTTTAAAGTACAATTTGCTAAGTGTAGACAGACATATAGACCTATGAAAACATTACTTCTATCAAAATAACGATCCTATCCATCATATCCACCCCCCAGACTTTCCTAGTGCCCCTTTATAATTCTTCCCTCCTGCCCCCTTCACCAGTGTCCTCCTTTGCCCCCAGACTTTTCCTCCATCAACCACTTGTCTTACGTCATTATAGATTTTATAAATAATTGTTAAGTATCTATTAGCATTAGTAAGTTCCATAAAAAAGGCTCTCTAGGTCCACTCTGACTCCTAAGCATTGTTAGGTATGATCTAATTAATTCATCTTTCATTCAATGATTTATTGAATATCTATTAGATATCAGGAAATCTGCTAGGCAGTGAGGATATAAGGTAAAACAGAATAGAGTAGCTTCTGTCTTCTTAGATTTTTGGTGGTTAGAAGGAAAGACAGGTATTAAACCAGTGACTATAATAAAATGTGACAATGGTTAAGATGGGAGAAGTACAGATCCATAGAGTGTAATGGAAGAAGGCCTCACTTAAGAGGTTAAGGAAGGCCTCTCTGAGGAAGGACTTTCAGGATGACACCAGAAGAGCTGGGAAGGTGGAGTGTTCCAGGCAGAGGCCTGGAGGAGAGTGGAGGACAGCAAATGTGGGGAGACAGGAGGCACTACAAGAAGTCTAGTGTGGGTAGTGTTTAGATGGCAAGGAGGTAAAGTGCAAAATCTGGAGGTCACACAGGGATGCAGAGCCAGACCCTGCAGGATTAGACCAGGTATATGGAAACGGACTTTAAAGAACCTGATTAGTTTCTAGGCTGACATAACTATGGAAACAGAAAGGAGCTGAATGGCACTGGAAACAGAAAACTCAGTCTCAGAGGCCAGATGGTCTGTGTCCATTCAAGCACCCTCGGCTGCAGATGCACCCTGACCCTCAAAGGAGTGTCCATTCACTTCAGTGGGGTTTCTCTTAATGTAGAAATGGCCCTTCGTGCTCGACTCCCACAAAATTCAACCTGCATCTCTCTTTGCTTTCCACATTGTGATGTGAACATGCACTTTGTTGATTGAAGTGCTGTCAATACCTTCAGGATGTGCAGACCCTAAATTTGATCTTCCCGCTCTCCCAGTGATACACATCCAGGTTTGCTGCAAGTCTCCATCAACACAAAAAATGCTGTTATAAACATCATTGTACATCTCCCTTATGGACCTATGTAAGAATATCTTTTGAATAAAAACTCAGGACCAGAACTCCAATTACTAGGGTCTATTTATTCTTTATTGAATGAAGGAGTACCAGGCTCCCCTCCAGGATGGTTGGCCCAGACTTCCAACACCAACGCATCAGGGCTTCTAGGAGCCCACTTCCAGGCTAACACTTGGGTCAGCTGACTTTCTAAGCTTCGCCAGACTCTCTGGTGTAGGGCGATATCGTTGTTTTCACTTTCATTTCTTTGATTATTAACGAGTTCAAGCATCTCCACGTGAGTGACTGCTTTTGTGTTTGCTCTCCTGTGTATTGCTTACCCATCTCATTTTCCCCAACATTGTTTATGGAGTAAAACCTAGGCCCTCCTAGTTTGGCAGGCCCCTAAAACTGTCCCCAATACTAACAGCTCACGTCTCATTACTGCCCTTTGTCCATGCTATACGTGGCCCAACAAGAATTCTTCTGTCTTTGTTTTCACTGTCCCCTCTGGATTATACCACCTTCTCCAAGCCCCCAGTCTAAACATGTCTCACAGCCTAAGCATTCTTGAGAACCCACCTCAAATATCACCTCCTGTAGGAAGGATTCCCTTATTTGTTAAGCTGGAAATGGGTTTTCATTCTCAGCTCCCACAGAGCTGAACCTGCATTTCTCTTTGCCATCTGTCACAAGAGGCCTTCTACTCTAGCTATTGATGTGGACATCACCTCCCCACAAAGACAGGCATCAGGTTGTGTGTGCAAACAGATTCAGAAGGCATGTTCAGAGAAATAGTAAGACTTTAAAAAATAAGTAAGATGACTTTTACTTTACTATTTGTAGTTTCCTCTAGCCAGTGTTTTTCTAACTACAGGTTGTAATTCATTAGTGGGGTATGAATTTGGTTTACTTGATAGAGTGCCCTTTTTTAAAAAGCAGAAGAGAAAATACCAGTGTATCACAAATAGCAAGTATCATTTTGTGAAACCTGTTGCAACTTGTATTCTTGTGTGATTGTGTCCAGGAAGCAATGTAAAATGTGTTTCTTACTGTGGGTTGAGGTCAGAAGTCTATTCTACTGTACTGAAAGTGTCATAGAACATGCCGCCCCAAAATATGCCACTTTGGCATATTGATAATTTTGAGATGTAGGTACTTGAAAAACAGCAAATACAGGGACAGACTTTCTCTGAATTTCCCTTATCTGCCTAAGGACAGACTCTCCAAATGGAACCCAATTGTCATAATGCCCTTCCCTGGGGGTGGGATTCATTGAGCAGGAAAGACTGATTCTTATCACAAGAGAGGCGACTAGAAGTCAATATCACACCCAGACAAACTCTGTCACAAACTATCATACTTCCCATCTGTTCTAGGGCCCATTCATTTTCCTCCAAAGTCATTTACTCGCCCCTTAGAGGCCAGTCCTCCCTCCTCTTTCCCTATTAAGATGGTATTTAAGTCTGAATCTAACTCACCTCAGGGAGTTATTATTTTCCCAAGTATTTCCCATGTGTACATGTTAGTAAACTTCTGTTTGTTTTTTTTTTCTTGTTAATCTCTCTTATTATGGGGGACCCATCTAAGAACTCAAAAGGGCAGAGGGGAAATTATTTTTCCTTCCCTACAGGACACATACGGATATTATTTGTATCTATTGTGTGTATCCCTTTCCCCTGAAGCCTTGAATCTAAAAAAAAAAAAAAAAAAAAAAGTGAAACACAGAATTTAGGCTCAGATTTCATCTTGGCCATGTTTATGCTGGGTGACTCACATTCCCAGTCGTCTCTTCTTTACCAGAAATCTCCTTACCTGTAAAATAAAAAACCTTTTCCTTTCCTGGGTTATTGTGGAATCAAATGAGAGGACATAGTGGATGGCTTTTGTGATTCATAAGACACCCAGGAACCCAAATATTCTTAATGTCTGGGCCACAATTTAGCAGAATCTGTATGTGCTAATCATCTAGAGATTAGATAATGTAACGTTTCCAATGTATTTTTCTTTCCACAACATGATTGTAATGTTCCTAAAGGAAAGATTTAGGACTTTCATCAATTAGTGTTTACCATGTTAATAACATTGACTGACAAATATTAATTTATTGCCATGTTGAGACTTTGCTCTAAGTATTTTGCATGGACTGTATTTATCTCCTTTTATGCCTATGGTAATTCTCTGAGGTGTTTACATTTATTGTCACCATTTTACAGATATTGAAATAGACATTCAGCCCATATTCTAGCTCCATGCCTTTTCTATTCCACCTTTTCCCAGACAAGTGAATCCGGGGAACACAGTTCAGGCTTTCTCATAGTTACCAGAGGCATCTAGCCAAGGGACAGAGACATCTCCCTGTACCGCCCCTGAAGCCTAGACTTTCCCAAGAGGAGACGCAGCTTCCCCTCCAGCCTCCACGCTCATGGACATGGGGATCACCAGGGAAAAGGTAAAGCTGTCGCTTAGTTTTCTACTCAGGTGTAAGCAACTCTATTAGAGGGCCTTTCGAGATAGAGACTTCATAGTCCCCTAGAAAGGGAAAACCAGAAGTCTTCCAGAGGGCCCTGAGGTGAAGGGCCCAGCATCTATAGTGGGTTGAACAGGGTCCTTCCCAAATTCATATCCACCCAGAAGCTCAGAATGTGACTTTATTTGGAAATACGGTCTTTGCAGATGTAACTAAGTGTCTTCTGATGAAATCATCCTGCATTGAGGCTGGGATAAAAGCAAGGAGAGGGTGATTTGGATAGAGACACAAGGAGGAAGGCCATATGAAGACAAAGGTAGAAATTGGAGTTATGCTACCAGAAGCCAAGAAACGCCAGGAG